CCCCACATTGTTTGGGGTCACTGCCTGTCCCATCCCCACATTGTTTGTGTGCACTGACTGTCCCCATCCCCGTGTTATTTAGGGACACTGCCTGTCCCCTTTGCCACATTTGGGGACACAGGTGTCGGGCTTCCCTGTGAGAGAGGAGGAAAAAATCCCAGCTGAGCCAAAACCACTGCAGGTTTTGGAGAAACTCCAAAGGGGCTTTCCTTGCCCTGTGCCCCCCTCCGGGTCCCCGGGCAGAGACATCCCTTGCTCCGGGAAAACACGAGTCTCCGTTCGCCACCCGAGCCTTGTGGATTCCCCTTGGAGCACAACCCCATGTGGGATTTGACTTTCCATCTTCCCTTGGAGCAGGGAATAACGGCCCCTTTCCCTCCCCAGGCACGCTGAGAGCCAGCAGAAGCACATGGCAGAGAAGATGCCGGCCAAGTGAAGCCGGGAACGCCGGGAGCGGAGCTGGAGGGAGCCCTCATCCTGCTGCTGTCCGTGTCCCAGGAATCCAGTGTTAGTCCATGACCATGTCTGAAGCTTTATGTCGGTGATTGGCCTCTTGCTTCTTAATTTATTTTAATTTTTTTACTCGTGCCACTAAATATCAGGCATTTTAATAATATTATTACGGAAAAAACTGTACAGTACTTATAACATTATAAAACCATGGGCGAGAAGAGAAGGGTAGTTTAACTTTATTTTTGTTTGTTTAGAGACTTTTTTTTTTGGTTGAACGATATTTTTTTCCCATTGACTACTTTTTTATTCTTCACTGTAGTTTTAAAATAAAGAAACTGTACTTGACGGTGCTATACAAGTCAAAAAAAAAAGAAAAAATACATGCCTGCCTCGTAGTGAAGTTGTAGCTTTCAGTAATCTGTATATTTTAATCAGTTCTCAACATTTTGTGAATGTTGACTACCTGACATTCATTTTTAGATGTGCTATTAACACTCGGTCGGGTTCAGAGAGTTGAAAGTTTTATGTATAAAGCTGTAAAATAAAAAGGAAAAAACTTGTTTCATATGACACGTCTTTTTGGTGCCGACTGGTTGATTTTGGGGGGGGTGAATGTGCAATTCCTGAGCTTGTCATCACCTTTTTTTTTTTTTTTGCTGATCACATGAGAAGGGAGGATTTTTGTCGAGTTATTTATTTGGAGGTTCAGAATTATGTGTGACGGGGACTTGAGAGACTCTTCTACAGCACCACCCAGCCCTCGTGTTGTGATGGTTGTTGGCATCAGCAGGAACACACCTTAAATGGGTTATTTTATATTTTATTGTCTGGGCTAAAGATTTAAATGACCTGCCAATGTCAGAAATAAACAAGATAATCTACGTGCAAAATCCAAGCAGCACATTAAATGTGTTAAATATGGAATTTCTCCCTCTGCCTTTGGGCTGAGCTCCCATTCAGTGCCCAGTTGTCCAGGATGGGGGACATGGGGACACCAATAAATCTGTCTCCATCCCTCCTTCCTTTGATTTAAAGCCCAGCCATCCCCTTCCTAAGCCCCAGCAGACGTATGTGTTGCTCCCCCCCAGCTTTTTACCTTTTAATTCTCATTTCCTTGGGGGCAAATCCATCTCAGCCAAGGCTCTGCCTGATGACTTATTCAGGCTGTTTTCACAAAGCCTGAGCTGCATTAAAATTTCATCCCCTGCCAAGAATGGATTTTATTAAATGACTTTTTTTATTATTATTTTTTTGCAGGAAAGGCAGGCTTGGGAAGGTTTGGTGGGGCTGGGTCAGGGGTTTGGTTTAATTTAGGGTTGTTTTTCCTTTCCTGGAGGGTTTCCAGTGCCAGTCCTTGTCCCACAGCCCCCATGGGAGCCATGTCCCATTTTCCTACTGGGCAGAGAAAAATATTGGGGTGTTTAGGCTGGGAGCCCTCACCTGCAGCCCAAAATGATGGAAACCCCTATTTTCCTTATTTTTAAATCTATGCAGAAAAAAGAAATATATATATTGGGAGTGTTGGTTTCCCTGTAGCTCTGGGTGGCTCAGTGCTTTTCCCTGCACATGGGAATTTATATATTCTGGATTTATATATTTTGGATTTACATATTTTGGATTTATATATTTTGACTCTAAACCACCATATTTGCAGTGTCTGAGCCCAAAACCATCCCCACGGGACCCAGTGCCTCCATCAGAAGTGGCTCTTTGGGGGTCAGGGAGGACGTTCCTGCTGCTGGTTTTAAAGCTTAAAAAAAAAAAAACCAACCCAAATACAAAAAGGTGGCTCTCAGCTTTAAGATAAAAAGTAGATAAAAAAAGCAAGAAAGCCCCAGGGAATTCCACACCAGCCCTGGCATCATCCCTGGCATTGTCCAGCATCCCAGGCAGGCTGGAGCTGAATTCCCTTGCTAAGTGCCTTTAATTTGCTGGAAAGAACTTGTTATTCCACCATTTTTTTTTAGGCAAAATCATGTTTCTGGATAACTGCATCTCCTTGGCTCCGAGGGGTCGTGCTGGGAATGCTGTGGGATTGATGGATTAAAGGATGGATTAAAACAGAAGGGTCTGATGTGGTTTCTGAGCTCTTGCCATGGGCAAGATGTATTTTGTCACTTATTTTTGAGTGGCCCCACTTTGTGTCTCCTCTGCCCTGGGTGGGTTTTTTTGTTCATATCCCTCCTTGTCCTCACCAAACAAACCATTTCCCACAGATGCCAAGTTGGGAATTGTTTTCCTTCTACAGCCTCGCCGTGGGCAACAGGAAAAACACCTCCTGAGCCAGGGACTCACCAAAAATACCTGATTCAGGCAGGAAAAACACCTCCCAGCCCTGCATCCGTGTGGGGATGGAGGTGCCCCCAACCTCCCCACATTATCCATGCACCAGCTGTACTAATTCCATATATCCACAAGGAATAGCTCCTCTTCCCAGCGTGGGATTTTTGGGAGCCTCGTCCTTGAGGAGGATTTTGGGGGTTTGTTCTGCCTCGATTTTTTATTTTTTAAAATTTTTTTGATGCTTTTCTCCCACGAGTGGGGCCTTTACAGGGCTCTCCACTCGTGACTCCTGGTGTCAGCACCGCAACCCCGGAGCTGAATTCCCCCACGGAGGCTCAGAGGGCTCTCAGGAAAAAGGTCACTCAGGGTGAGCTCAGCAGGGACAGTAATAAGCAGCTTCTGTTCTGACAGTGGCCACTGCTCAACCCCAGGAGCAGGATTTGGCATCCAGCCACTGGTGGTGTCTGTGTCCCTTTGCCCATAATTTTTTTTGGGGGAAAAAAAAATGTTCGTTTGGATAAAAATGTTCAAATGAGTGGAAAGTCAAGGAAAGCTCAGGGCTGGATGGGCTGGGGCAGGAAAATGTCACCTGCAGGGATCACAGAACAAACAGGTTTGGGTTGGAGGGACCTTAAAGCTCATCCTGTTCCACCCCTTGTCAAAAGCAGGGACACCTTCCACTAGCCCAGGTTGCTCCAACCTGGCCTTGGACACTTCCAGGGATCCAGGGGCAGCCACAGCTTCTCTGGGCAACCTGGGCCAGGGCCTCCCCACCCTCCCAGCCAAGAATTCCTTCCCGATATCCCATCTAATCTTGTCCTCTGGCAGTAGGAAGCCATTCCCCGTGTCCTATCCCTCCATCCCCTATCCCAAGTCCCTCTCCAGCTCTCCTGGAGCACTGGAAGGGACCTTTTGGGACAAGGGATGGGCACAGAGTTTTGTGCAGTTTGGAAACAATTTTGGAGCTTGTGGGTTTTCAGTTCTTACCCCGTTGATTTTTTTGTGCTCCCTGAGCTGGGCAGGACAGGACCTGCTCCTTGGTGTGTCCTGTCCCAACCACACTCCCCTTCCTCAGTCCATCCTGGCCACCCAGGGGAAATTCTGCTTGCTTTTCCTTACCTGCCTCCAGCAGGTCTCAAACCATAACATTTCTTCATGTTTTTAAGTCTGTCTGTTGGTCCTAAATTCACCTGTGCTCGAAAAGCACGAAATGCTGCATTAATATAAAAAAAAAAATCATTCTCATGAGATGAGAGAACATCCTGTTGACATTAATTACATCAGCCCTTGGGAAGAGGGATGAGCTTTATGAGGCAGCTGCTTCCTCTCAGGGAAGCCTTGTGGTTTGGGTTCCCCTTTTTTGGTTTTCTCCCTTGTTTGTGCCTCCCTCCCCCAGCCCAGCAGCTCCCGGTGCCGTGCTGAGCTCATCTCCCTGGGCACGGGGCACTGCCAGGGATGGGAGCCTGGGAAACCAGAACCTGTGGCTGCCCCTGGATCCCTGGAAGTGTCCAAGACCAGCTTGGAGGGGGCTTGGAGCACCCTGGGCTAGTGGAAGGTGTCCCTGCCCATGGCAGGGGGTGGAACGAGATGATCTTCAGGTCCCTCCCGACCCAAACCACTCCATGTTTCCATGAATCCATGAAAACCATGCACACAGGGTTTTACTTTTCTTATTTCACCCTTCAAAGGAGAAGCATTGATGAATTTATGGGAATTAAGTCCTGTGCAGGTTCAGATGGGAAGTTTTGGGATGTGGGAACCTCCTGCGTGCGCCTCCCGTTCCCAGCCCACCCGAGGATGTTCCCGTTGCTTTGCACCTCTTCCAGGGAAGATGATCAGCCTGAAAGAGATGGTTTTTTACCTCTTTAGATCAAACCCATCCTTGCCAGCCCCAAGGGAGGCTCAGCTTTGCCAAGGGCATCCCCAAGGAAAAGCCATGGGGGGGTTGTTCCGGTCGTCCCTCATTTCCCCACACCGGCCCACGCCTGTTCCCATCGAGTTTCTCTTCCCTCTTATTGTAAAACAAAGTGAAACCCATGTGTGAGGGATCCTTCACCCTCCATCTGCTGCTCCAGGGGTGAGCAGGGACACCCTGCACAGGGCAGGGCCATTGGCAGCAGGGACTCCGGGGGCTTTGCCAGCAGGGACCAAATCTGGTGCTAAAGCAGCTTTTCCTGATTAGATTTGGGATTAGACCTTCCCACTTCCCTTATATCAACCAGCAGCTCCTTCTTGGTGGGAAAACATTGGTTCTTTAAGTCTCTGAGCCTTGGAGAGGGGGGAAAAAGGATTGATGTGAAATAATTTATCCCAGTTCTTGGTGGTGCCAAAGGTTCTGAACCATCACAGCCTCTCCTAGTCCCTGGCTTTTAGGATTTGAGGCCAAACTGGGATTCTGGCTCTGTTGCCAATGGAAAAGTTGCCAGGAAGGACTGGGAGCAGAGCCTGGCCACCCCACTGATCATTGTCACCTCCTGTGAGCAGCACATCTGGGGAAGGACATTCACTTCCCTCCAGATGAAAAGTGAAATAGGAGGGCTGAGTGAAAAACAGGAATTGCAGGGTTTCCCTGGATCTCCAGAGCTGACAGAGCCCTTTCCAGGCAGCCAGCTCAGCACTCCTCTGCTGCCTGGCAGGGCTGTGGGAGGAGGAATTTTCCCAGGTGTTGTCCCCATCCCACCATGGACACAGGGCTGACACCCCCAGGCAGGCACTAGTTGGGAAAAATCCCATCAGGCACTCAGGGAATTTTGCTGGAATACCTGGCACTCCTGGCTAAGGGCACTGACCCCCAAAGCAAGAATAAGAGCTGGGAAGGGGCTCTGCAGCTCCAAAAGCACCCAGAGATCTATTTTTTGGGAGCGGGGAAGGGATCTCCATCACTGTGTCAGACCACTCACCCTAATTCCCACTGCTTGGAACACGAGGTCTGGGAAGAGAAGGGACACCAGCCCACGAGTCCACGCGAGGGTCAAGACCCTGCAGCAGATATTTGGGGTTGGAAGAGGTTGTGTGCAGTCATTTCTGGGTTGCAGCTCAGCTCAGCCCACTCGGGAAAGGTTTGGGTGCCCTGCAGAGCCCGGCAGCTGGACGTCACCACGGGCACACAACGCCTGCACACGGAAAAAACAAAGTTTCTCCTTCCCCAGGCTCCCTTTGCTTCATGCAGTGAACCCCCAGCCCCAGCGTGGGAAAACCAGACTCCTTTGGTGGCAGCTCCCCGAGCCCAACTCACGTGCTCTGAGGTGAACCCCCTCTAAACTTCCTCTGCTCCACATAAAGCCCAATA